TCCTAAACAAAGCTAACCAAAAGAAAGAGAAAATCCAAATGAATAAAATCAGAGGCTATCACAACGCAGAGCAAAAATGTGCAGTACATTATAAGGTAAAAAAATTTTTTTAATGTGAACTTCATTAAATTAAAAAAAAATCTAAAAGAAATGGGCAGATTTCTAAGTTCAATGGATTCACCAAAGATAATGTTAGATGATATCAGCAGTTTAAATGGATCCAAAACAAATCAAGAAATTGAAACAGCAATGCAAAGCCTCCCAACTAAAGAAAGCCCAGGCTCAGATGCATTCACAGCAGAATTCTACCAGATCTTCAAACAAGATCTACAATAATACTACTTAAATAATTCAAAAAGATAGAAACATAGGAAGAATTTCCAAGCTCCTTCTATGAAGCCAGTATTACTCTAACACTAAAGCTATGTAAGGGCACAATAAAAAAACAAAACCAAAACTATAGGTCCATAACCAGAGAGAACACAGATGCAAGTAGACAAGTCTGTCCACCATTCCCAGAACATTTCAATATAGCGCTTGAAACTCTTGCTAGAACAATAAAACAAGAGAAGGAAGTTGAAGGAGTACTAATTGGAAAAGAAGAGGTCAAATTACCCCTATTTACAGATTATATGATATTAAGCATAAGAGATCCCAATAATTCCAGCAGAAAACTTCTAAAAATGATCAATACTTTCATCAATCTAATAGGTTACAAACTCAATTTATACAAATCAGTAGCCCTTCTATATACTAATAACAATCAGAGAAAGAGTACATGGAAATGGTCCCATTTCAAATAACTAAAAACATATGTAGGAATAAACCTCACCAAAGACATTAAAGACCTCTTCAATAAAAATTTTCAATCTTTGAAGAATGAGATTGAGAAAGAGATCAGGAGATGGAAAGTACTCCCATGTTCATGGATCGGTAGAAATAATATTGTAAACATGACCATCCTACCAAAAGCAGTTTTTAGATTCAATTAAATCCCCACCAAAATCCCCATGACGTTCTTCACAAAGATAGAAAAATCCATCCTAAAATTCATATGAAAACACATAAGACCTGGGATAGCCAAAGGAATCCTGAGCTCAAAGATGCTGGGTGGATTACCATACCAGATCTCAAATTATATTACAAAGCCATAAAACATAAAAACCACATGTTATAACAGACACATAGATCAATGGAACATAATGAAGACCCAAACATGAGTGCATGCAATTTCAGTCACCTGATGTTTGACAAAGGTGTCAAGAACTCACCCTGGAGAAAAGACAGCATCTTCAACAAACAATTCTGGAAAATTATATTTTAACATGTAGAAGAAAAATTTTAGAATCATGCCTTATCACCCTGCACAAAAGTCCATCCCAAATGGATCAAAAACATCTATTTGAAGCCTTATGAAACTGTTACAAGAAAACAGAGGCAGTACCCTACAAGACATGGATGCAGAAAAGCACTTTCAGTATCAGACATTGTAGTCTCAGGAATTAAGATTCCACAAATGGGATCTCATTAAACTAAAAAGCTTCTGCACAGCAAAGGAAACCACCATTTGAGTGAAGATGAAGTATGGGAGAAAATCTTTACCAACTATACATCTGACAGAGGATTAACATTCAGAATATACAAAGACATTTAAAAACAAGCAAGAAAAAATTGACCCAATTAACAATTGGGCTATGGATCTGAACAAAGACCTATCAAAAGAAAAAGTATCGATGGTTAAGAAGACCTGAAAAAGTGTTCAAAATCCTTAATAACAAATGAACTGCAAATAAACACCACTTTATGGTTGTATCTTTTTCCAGTCAGAATAACTAAGATCAAGGGAACAAATGACACCAAATTCTGGCATGGATGCAGGGAAAGGGGACTCCTCATCCACTGCTGATGGGATTGCAAAATGGTGTGACCACTGTGGAAATCAGTATGGAGAACTTTTTTTTTTCTTTTTTGTCATATCATATGGGTAATGTGCCGATGCCTAACAAGGTTTGCAGGTGGGGCATGTCATGCAATCACGTGAATACCCAATCTTCAGACTTATGAACCAAAAAAGGATCAATATGGAGTACTTTAAAAAAATATCCTACAAATAAATCTATTATTTTCATGTTATATTTTCAGCATAATGTATATATGAAATCAGATAACAATTGTGAGACACTGATCCATGAGGTAAATGTTATTTTATATGTAGTAAAAAGAAAAAGTGCTTGATTCACACATACATATGCATATTGTGCATACGTACTTTTTACAGGTGGCAAAAATTTATTCTCTGCTTCTCTCAGTGCCAGGGAGGAAGGGGATAAACTGGGGAAGACCTGGTTTGGGAGAGGAGGGATCTCAAGGCTTTATAGCCATGTGTGGAGACCATAGGGCAGGTTGAGGTGCTGTTTAGATATTTCTCTGGAAGTTCTTCAGCTTGCAACTGGCTCTGAGTTGACACAGTTTATTTAAGAGGAGTTCAAGTTCCAGTGATGCTGGGGTGTTTGTTTCGATCAAAACGTTGAGACTAGATTTAGAAAAGCAATTGGGAGTGGAAGAATGCTTTCCGCCTGGCTTGGACAAAGGCAATGGGTCATCTTCATCACCACTGAAGTGCAGCATGTCTGTTGGGTTCCACCACAACCACAGTGTTCACGATAGCCAGCAAGAGTCCTCCATAACCAAGTGCATAACAGAAAGTCCAGAGAGACAGGAAGAATTCCCCAAGCGAATAGTGCAGACAATTTCCTGACAAATGAGCCTAGAGAGAAGACTGTTCCATAAATCAGCACACCTGCGCCCTGCAATGGGGGAATCTCCCATGGCTTCTTACTGCGCCTTGCATTGCAGTGCAGATCTCATTCTGCTCAAGCAGGCAAGGAATGTCGATGTTCAAACTGTTTTGCCACTAACCAAATTGATGTATGTACACATATGTTTGTACATGTATGTGTGTGTGTGTGTGTGTGTATGTGTGGAAGTAAATTACACCCTGATCTAGTTTATGACTTTACTATTACCAATGGAGTAACCAATCTCTTTCTTATTCCGAGTCTCATATTTTTTATCTATTAAATACTGATAATCAACCTTAATTTCACTATAGGCAAATTAAATAAAATTATAAATACAAAATATTTATTAAGCACTTTTTCCATTATTATAGTTGTCTAAAAGCAAAATGTTTAAACAGAAAAACTGTTTTGAAAGATGTTATCATTATCATCATATCATCATCATCATCATCATCATCATCATCATCATTATTGTTTACAAGCAGTGCCTCCCTGAAGTCACAGCTGGGTTAGACCTTGCTATGTAGACCAGGCTAGCCTTGATCTCATAGAGATCCACCTGCCTCTGCCTTTTGAGTGCTGGGATTCAAGGTGTGTACCTTTAAACCTGGGTCATGATTAAAAGTTATTTTTGAAACTGTGGAAGTATTTGGAGACTGCTTATTTGGTAAATATGTGCGCCTGTGTTCAATTCTCAGCATCCAAGTTAAGAAAAAAACAAAAACAAACAGGATATGATGACCTACACAGTTAATTGCAGTGCTAAGCAGGCAAAGGCAGACAAATCCCTAGGGATTGCTGGCCACCTAGCCTTACTAAGTCAATGAACTCTATGCTTAGTGAGATACCCTGTCTCAAAAAAAAAATGAAGGTGAGAATGTTGAGGAATACAATTGATGTTGCCGTCTGGCCTTCACATGCACACATGTGTACATACACAGCTATAAACTTCATAAAGTGCATTTTCTACACAGAATAATGCCACTGTTCTAGTAGAAGTTTATCTTGAATTGTAGGAGCTAGTGGATGAGAAGACATCTGTTTCAATTGTACCTCTGAGATTTATGATTGTGTCATCCTGAAAAGTCATTTGATATCTTGAAGCCTTTATTCACTTTTGTTTTTTTTGGGTCTTTTTGAGACAGGGTCTCCCTGCAGCCCCAGCTGTTTATTCACTTTTTAAATGTTGGAAACATCAACCTAACTCACAGGGTTTTTATAAAGAATGACACATTAATGATTGTGATATGGATAAATTGTTCTCCATACTTTGATGAATATTAAATTTTTTAAAGAATTAACTGCATTGATCTTTGTGCTTTAGAAAGTTTATCATCAAGATTCCACTTGATGGAAAGAAGGATCACCCATGCTTCCATGCAGCCTGGCTTCCTGACAGAGCCTGAAAACAGCACATAGTAGGAACAGCAGCTAGACCTGTAACCACCCAGGGCAGGCGACCTGGTGCCTACTCAGAGGTACTCTGTCTGTGTACGGTGGTGGTGGTGGGTGTTATAAGTTTAAATACTTATGAAGGTTTCATATATGTCTAGTGATCCAAGTTATATAATAAAATGGTTTGAGTGCCTAGGAAAAAAGACTATGACACAATAACTGCAATATGGAAAAATTGTCCCTGGCAAAGAGCAACTATATATGTTTTTATAAATTTATTATTACTCATATTATTTACTCTAGTTGTATAGAAATAACTCCAGATTCAGCATAACTGTCAGATTTTAGCATAGCATTTGCTCTCTGATAATGCTTCTATTATCTATGCTCTGCTGTATTCTATAGTTTTTATATCATATCAGGTGTTGGTATAACAACTCAGGCATAAGAAAAAAAGACATGCCAGTTGTCTAGAATCAAGTACACTGATTCACTGCATTTTCACTGATTACTAATATAATTAAGCTTGACTAGCACCAACAGGATACTCTGTATTAATAAGTAAAATAATAAAGATTTGGGTCTGGAGAGATGGCTCAGAGGTTAAGAGCACTGACTGCTCTTGGAGAGGACCCGAGTTCAACTCCCAGGACCCACATGGCAGTTGCCAATTATCTGTAACTCCAGTTCCAGGGGAATATGATGCTCTCTTCTGATCTCCGTGGGCACTGCATGGCACGGGTGCACTTACATCCATGCAGGCAATACATGCGTACACATAAAATAAAAATTAATAAATTAATAAAAAAATAAAGATTTGAATTGCTTAGATTGCCTATTTAAAATAAATAAAAAACTCGTTGATTTAAGATCAGAATATCTGGGGTTGGCAAGATGGCTCAGTTGGTAAACATGCTTTCAGTCAAGCTTGACTACTTGTTGGAGCCACAGGACATATATGGTTGAAGGAGAGAATCGACACCCTCGAGGAGTTCTCTGACATTCCCAAATATGCCATGGCATATATTTGCATAAATATATACATATACACAAAAATAAATAAATATGATTAAATTTTTAAAATCTGGGCTGGAGATATGGCACAGCGGTTAAGAACACTGATTGTTCTTGCAGAAGACCCAGGTTCGAATCCCAGCACCCACATGGCAGCTAACAACTGTCTGTAACTCCAGTTCCAGGGGATCTGACAGCCTCTTCTGTGCCCCGAGGGCATTGCACAACACAGGTGCGTGTACCTACACTCAGGCAATACATGCATACATATAAAATAAAAATAATAAATAAAAATATTAAAATAAAAAATATTTTTAAAAATTAAAAAAAAATTTAACTCAGATTACTTGTTAAGTCATAATGCTGATTCTTTTCTAGTCATTCATGGGGAAAATGCCTGCATGAAACAAATTATTTAAATATTGAAGTTATTTTGATGATCAAACCACTAAAAAACAAAACCAGCTATGAACAATAGTGCCATCTTCGGGTTTGATGGCTTATTCATGAAAGCTTGAAAAGTACCCATTTTTATTACATATTTTTATTTACTTAATAAGCATCAACTTTGTGGCCATGCATATATTTAGGTGAGTTTTTAAATTATTATGTTTAATAATTTAGCTACCATTTGAAAATGGAACACTCACAAGCCCTTAAGAGGGGAATAAATTCATGCTTCATTTTAACAAAATTGAAAAATGTGGCATTGGTCCACTATTTCTCTCTTTACTTTTTAAGTAAGCTACTTTGAACTCTCAAACAGTTTCAGATACTTTTACCTTGGTGATAATTTGGGTTTTGATTTGAATTGAGGTTTATTCAATCTGGAAATCCTTCTAACATTCTCTACAGCATCCTGTGTGTGAATGTTTACATTCCCCATCCATTCAGTTCTTAGCTAATTCTAAGCAGTTTAATACTTTTAAATTAACATAGCAGCTGTTTGCCTGGGTGGATTGCTTAATATTTGGTGACTAATGAGTGGGTTAAGTTCAATTCAGCCTACCACTGGGATCTAATCAATATACAAGTGGTGTTAGATCTAATTAAAATAGGCTCTTTAAGTCTATGGAAGTTTGACTAAGACTTTTGCTGAGTTTGCCAGGAAGTTTCATACTTCAAAGGACAGACTTCTTTATTTTGGTGCATGAAAATTCTAAAGTATTTACCACTCATCTCTGGAGGGGACTTGATGTCCTGAAGAAGTAGCAGTGGGACTAGAAGAGAGTTTGACAGTCACCAGTCCCACTTGTGTTAAGACAGCGTTCAGTGAAAATAACCACACACGGTTTTCTGGAGTGCGTTCAACAGGCCCGTGTGTCCACCTATGGGAAAATCTTTTGAGCTCTTATAGTATTGACAAGAAATCAAAGGAGGTAAGTCCTAGTTAGATTTGAGAAACTTTCCCAGGTTGGTAAGAAAGCCAAGATAAACTTGCCTCCTAAATATTTCTACCAAGGGCATATGAGTACTAATGAAAGTAAGGCTTAGCGCATCATTATTAAATATTGAAACACAGTATTTAAGTGAAAAAAATATGATTCATTAAAGGTAAGATGTTATAGACATCTAAAAATCTAGGCTAAAGTAAATTGACTATCTCATACAGAATAAGGCTTTCCATTCAATCTGGGAAGGATGGTGCTATGTCAACACTCTTACAGTGACACTAGTATTTCTACCTCTTATCAAGTGTTCCATCCTATTTTTTTAACTTTTTATTTTATTTATTATTTTTATTTTATGTGTTATGCATGTATTGCCTGCATGTAGGTAAGTGTACCATGTCTTGCAATGGCTGCTGAGGTCAGAAGAGGCTGTCAGATCCCCTGGGACTGGCATTACAGACAGTTACTAACTGTCA